CCTCTCTATATTGTACCTAGGAACCAGAAGCAATGATTCCATGTAATGATGGAGGTCCATCCCAGTACCACCTCTGTTACATATTGTTGTGTTAAAATAGCTGCTGTGGACCAGCAGATGGCATGGTGGCTAGGGCTCTGGATTCCCACAAAGTTAACCATGGTTCAAGTTCTGGACCCGGTGGCTTGAAAATCACACTGGGTATGTGTTTGTGCATGACCAAAATCCCAAGAGGAGAAGGGAGAAGAGACTGTGGTGTGACCATCCATCCTGGGAGGAGATTTCTCACCTTCCCTCTCTCTGTGTCTCTCTGGCAAGTGCATGAGCCCTACAGTGAAAACTCAAGGGAAAAAAAAAAAAAGAACAATAAGGAATTACTGCTCTACTGAGTCTGGGAAAGGGGTTATAACATGAGAAGGATCAGAAAGTAGGAGCTACCATGTTTGAAGTCTTTTCTATCATGAATATTTTAAAAGGAGGAAATGGCAGAGAAAACAACAAAGGGCAACAGGATTTGTTCCAGCCCACAAATGTGAAGCGAAGAAACAGTGTAAAATGTGAAAAGTAATCTGTGAGTTGTGATCAAATGCAATAAGTAGTCATGAGAGACAAAAGAATGGACCTCAGAAATACAAGAGGCAGATGGCAGATACCTCCCTACTAAATGAATGAGGTCAATAAAAATGAAATATAAGCTTATACACTACTGGGGCTAAGTAATAAAGGCATAGGATAAAGAATGCAAGCCTTCTCCAATGGAGGAAGAGGAAAGGAGGAAGTACAGTCATGCATCATATAAAGAAATTTTGGTTAACCACAGACTGCATATACGATGGTGGTCCCAAAGTTATAAAGTCTATACCTTATAGCTTGGGTGTGTAGTAGCTTATACTATCTAGGTTTGTGTAAATGCACTCTATGATGTGCACACAAGGACAAAATCACTACTACTGTATTTCTCAGAGTGTATCTCTGTTGTTAAGCAATGCATGATTGTGTACCAACAAATAATAAATGCAATTATTTGAAAGATAAATGAGTTTACTTTGAAATTTTCCTTTTACTTTTCCCCCTCAAAAAATCTCATGTATAATATTTTTTGCCCCTGTTGTCTCATTAATAAAACTAGAGTTTAAGCATTCTCTATATGTTTAAAAACAAGATCTTCAACTCTCTTCAAATTATAGGCTGATCTATGGGGGTTGAGGGAAAAGAGATGGTACTCTGACCAGGCAGAAAGCAGGCCTCTTGCTCAAGACAAAACCTAGATTGCAATTATACCCATCCAGTGTCTAGCATTTCTCACACACACACAGATACACACACACACACACAATCAATAAGTACTCTTTGATCATAGTTTTAGTAGCTACTACATTGTTTAACTGTACATTATATTTTATGCTTGTGCTCTGAAATAATTTAAAGGGTATAAGCTTATAAACACATTAATATAACAGAAACCAGCTTCATGATGTAAGTGAAAAACTAATAAAAATGATAAATAAGTTTGTAAGATATATAGTAGTTTGTGAAAGACTATAATGAAGAGTAGAATCTTTCTTCCTTTCTGTCTTCTTTTAAAAACTTGCTAGAAAGTAGAGAATTAAATTTAATTTTTAAAAGTTAATGGCAGGGCGGGACCAGCAGTTAGCATAATGGCTGTGTCACAGGACTCCCATATAGTCAATTGCAGTTTGAGTCCCAGACCTGATGGCTTAAACTCAGGCCAGGCACATGTGTGTACATGTCCAAGATCCCGAGAGGAGAAGGGAGGAGAGATTG